CCAAGCCCAAAAATACAGAAACTCCAAATTAAAAGCCCTATGCCCCACAACACTAAAACCGAGAAGCCCGAACCCCCAAATCTCTAGGAACAATCTGAAGCCCGAAAAGCCGTTGCAACACCCTTCGAATATTTCGCAAAAACACGGTTGAATTCGGTAAACTCCATCAAGCCTCATAAAGCCCCTAAACCCGCAACCCTGAACCCCTAAACCCCTAAAAGCCCCTACGGCCAGTAGTCCCGCACACCGCCTGGCCAGTCTTCGCATTCGTGTGTGCCTGGAGCAGGGTTTTGAGATCAGGGTTTTTCAGGGTTTAGGGTTTAGTTGGAATAGGGCTTTGGGGTGTATCATACTACAATGATAAGGAACCCTAAACCCTAAACCCTAAACCCCAAACTGCAATGATAAGGACAAAGGCTGAAGGGTGAACACCCCCACACATGCCGAAGTAAAACCAAGCCCAGGGCTGAGTGTGCAGGGGCTTCTTGAGGGTTTTGAGTTCTGTTATTATTACGATTATTAATCATTATTATTATTATTAGTATTATTATTATTATTATTATTATTATTATTATTATTATTATTACTTCTTTTTTTTGGGGGGTGGGGGGGTTGAGGGCTTTGAGTTCAGGGTTTTCTAAGATCCTCGGTGACCTAGCAACAAGAAGGGCTCCTCTGTTGGCTTTGGGTGCCACAAAGAGAAACAAAAAGGGCTGACTGGCGGACCTAGTTGTGGGTTTGGGGCTTTGGGTTTGGTGTTCATGGTTCCGGGCTTAGCTTTCAGAGCTCATGGTTTGTGACAAGCGACGGATAGAGCATGATAGAGTCTTTCTGCGGAGTCACAGTGTTTTGAAGCTTGTGAGGTCTAAGGGATTTTAGAAAGTGCTCCTATACCCAGACCCCCGGGAGGATCCAAAAAGTAGATCCCTTAATGGGGGTTCCTATAAAGTACCCTTAGTAGTATAGGGCCCCAAATTAGGGGATCTACTTTCTAGATCCTCTCGGGGGTCTGGGTAATGGTTTTAAAGAGGCTTGGGGTGCTCGGGTTTCCAATGAAGGGATTGGCTTTTCTGTGGCGTGGATGCGCCGGAAATGGCAAGCTTCATCCTGAAGAAACAGAAAAGGGGGTTTCGGAGAGGTAAGGTTTCGAAACACCTCTATCGCGGCATCGAGATTTGTTAAAATGACGGCTTTGGAAGGAACTGGGTTTAGCATGTGGCTGGTTGTCAAAATCAAGGTCCCCTTCTGGGTGCCCTAAAGCATAGGTGCCGTATTATAATACGGACCCAAAAAGGGACCATAATTTTGACAACCACCCATGTAGGCCCGAGCACACGTGAAACCTTCACACCGCTTCGACCATGAGCATAAGTTTACGGTTCCAGGCTTTTGGGCTTAGGGTTTAGGGCTTCAGGATTCAATACCTTGCCCGAAGCCTCAATCCTTCAGCCTCGACCGTATGGGAGTTTCAGAAGGGACACAACCCGTATGTAACTAAACAACTGTCTTCAAACCATGGTTTTCGGAGATCCCTACAGTGACGCCAGACCCAACAAAGGGAAACCCTAAACCCTAAACCTCCAAGCACACCGCCCTTAGGGGATCGCCTAAGGATCCCTTAAAGGAACCCATAAGGGTTCCCTTAAGGGTTACCCTACGGATTCCTTAAAGGAACCCCTAAAGATCCCCTAAGGAAGCCTTAAAGGAACCCTGAAAGGAACCCTAAAGGGTGCCCATAAGGGAACCCTTAGATGCCTCCCGGGAGATGATACACTCACCGAATCGGTTCCTGGGCTTCACATTTGCAGTAGGTTTAGGGTTTAGGGCTCAGGGTTTAGGGTGTCCAGAGACTCCAATATCCCTCAATTAAGGAATAGACCTTAAATTAATAGTAGGATCCCTAATATGACTGAAGGAACGTTCCTTAATTAGGGCATAGTGGAGTCTCTGGGTATAAGAGTTCAGGGGATGCAAGTAAAACGAATCCCAAAACCCATATTCTGTATCAGGGCTATCTACAGGATTGCAGGTCCATGGTGTACTTGGAGGATCATGGGACTTAGTAACTATAGTTATATGCCCCTTAATTGGGGCTATATGCAATTATACATTATAAGTATAGTTACCCCAATACTATAGTCTATATGTAATTATAAATTATAAGTATAGCTACCCCAATAATAACCCTAGTTACTAACTCCCATGATCCTTTAAGTATGGCTTATGGGATCTCTGGGTTCTGGCCAACACAAATACAGTATGTTGGAGCGCTTTCTGCCAACTCAGCTTTGGCCTGCTTCAGCTGAGCGCTGGTGTCGCGCCACCACATCGTCTTCTCCTGCAATTCGAGGCGGAAATTAGCGAGAGCCAAGTCCTTCTCGAGCCCGAGCTCGCGCCGCAGAGCGTCTAGTTTCTGCTGGCATTCTTGCTCCAGTTACTGCAACTGCACAGGCAGCCCAGTCTCACCTGACGACAGGGTTCGATGCCAGCCGCAAAAGCCCATTGGACGCTGTCGCCAGTCAAGACAAGCGCAAACCGATGCCAGACGGATCCGATAGCCACTGCTGTCAACACCGCCTCCATCATGACTCAAGACGTAACCACGCCGAAGAAAGTAGGTAGCAAGATTACCCAGAGAGCTCTTTCTCCCTGAACTTAGCCATACTCCTCAAACTACAGAAGGCTTTTCATTAGATTTTGACGGGCTTCCTTAAGTGCGGAGGATTGGGATCTCCGGGTATGACTTCTCAAAGACTATCCGGGTACTGCTACTTCTTATTCAGGCGTCTCTACCGGGGTCGCAAGCTACCACGCCGGGTCCTTACCTTAGACCCTAAGCCATAAAAACATGAGCCGTAAGCCCAAAACCCCAAACCTTTAAGGGAGTAGATTTAAGCCCGAAATTCCATAACAAAAGCCCTACCCTTCCGAAGCTGTTGTTTAGCTCTGAATTTCCTAAACGGCAAATAAGACAAGACCACGAACCCAAACCTCGAAAACCTTGAACCCATGGAACCCCAAATCCTGGAAAAACGTCACCCTCAAACCCAAAGCATTGGCATGAACCCTGAACCCTTGAGCCCTGAATCCTGAATCCTGCCTGAAAATCTGAACTCTTTTAAACGGCACGCATCGTGCAAGAGGTCGTTAACTGCACACGCATGGAGGGAGCGATCTTTATAAGCCGAAGCCCCAGGACAAGTCTTGAACTCTAAACCCTGAACCCACAAAGGTTTACGGGGTATCAGTTAGGCACGGCCCCCACTCAGTCATAGTTGAATATTATTCATAATATAGATATAGTAGGACCTTAATCAGTAGCCCTATTATGGACTGTTACTGTATGGGGGCCGTACCTAAGGTATCAGCTGCAGATCCTTGGTCTAGGGTCTGTTGAGTTCAACATCCCGATGTCACCGGTCGGATATGTACAACCCGAGGGTCTCTATTGCGTGTCCTGGCATTTCTAGAGGTCCCCATGCGGATTTTCTTGGATTTCCATACGGTATGAAAACTAAAACTTGCTAGAAACCTGCACCCTAAATCCCTGAACCCCAAACCCCTAAACCCCTAACCAAGAAACCACCTAGAAACCTGAACCTTAAACTCCAAAACCCACCTGTGAACCCTAGAATGCGAGGACAATCCTAGAACCCCCCCGCCCCGCCAAACAAAAAAAAAACACACACAACCTTTTAACCCTAGACTATTTGGAATAGTCCAAGGGAGCCTCGCGTCTCCGCGTGCTGTACAACATCCCAGCAAATCGCATTTGCGACCAGGGGAGGGGGTTTGGAGGCGATTTTAGGTTTGGGGTTTAGGGGTTGGGGGTTTAGGGTTTAGGGGTTTAGGGGTTGGGGGCTTAGGGTTTGGGGTTTAGGGGTTGACGGTTTAGGGCTTCGGAGATTCTATTCTACTGTACTTTAGAGCCACGGTTAATAAACATCCCCAAATTGGGGATCTAGAATCTAGCAGTTTAGAGGCAGTTTATGACCTCTTAAGATCAGGATCCAGTAAAGCAGATTTTGGTGCCGTGTCTCCAAGATAACATCTCTTGCTGGCATGCTGGAGCAGGCAATCACCCACCAACTTCGAGGGGTGTTTGCCCCAAGCATAAGGATTGGCAACGCACCTTTCGGATGGCTGCAAGGAAGAGCCACAGCTGACCGGGAAGGGAAGAAGAACCCGTCTGAACTCCAAAATTTGTCCCAGATCCTTGAATCCCTATACTCCCACCCTAAAAACCCCAAACCCTAAAGCCTCAACACCTTGTCTCGGATATGCTCCAACCCGATCCGACAGCTGAACTCAAATTACCTGAACAACGCAGCACGAACCCTTAAACCCTGAACTGTTCGTCCTTGAAGCACCCATTCTAGACGACCCCAATGAGCGAAGTTGTGGGTTTCAGGTTTGGGGTTTACGGCGGGCTTCCTATGCTCTTGTTAAGGAATCTATCTTGAGCTAACTTAATAACGAGATCCTATTGTCTAGTATATGAATCCCTATTCTGGTAACTCAAGTTAAGTTCCCCAAGAGCCCAGTTTAGGCTTTGGGACTTAGGCTTAGACAATATGGGAGTTTCCGAAAACGGGGGACCCTAATATAGAACTTTAAATAGCAGGATCATGATTATAAGAGCCCAAAAAATAAGGTACCCCCTAATTTTCGGAAACTCCCGTATGTGGTGTGTGCCCTGAACCCCAGACCTTGGATAAACGATTGTTATAGGATCCTTTAGGGAGGGTGGTTCAAGGGGGGAGGGTATAAGGAATCTTTAGGGGACTGTAAGGGAACCTTAGGGAGTACTAGGGGGAATTAGGGTTCACTAGGCTATATACCCCCCTTGGACCCCCCTCCCTTAAGGATACTACAAGATTGTCCCGTTTCAGCTGTCCAACATTCCTCCATGGTCACACAATTGCTGCCCACAGCCGCGATTTAAAACGGGTTTAGTCTTTAGGGTTTAGTAGACCAGAGAGTCCTACACCGATTCGGGCTCACGTAGTCGCCGCAGGTGCACTGCGCTTCGCGATCTTGGCTCTTAGAAGGTCATTGATCACCTTGGTAGCTGGGGTTCAGCGTTTAGGGTTTCAATAGGGTCATGTATTCAGTATTCGCCCTTCGAGGATTCAGAATTTCAGTCTTGGGGATTAGGATTTTTCGATTTTTAGTCTTCAGGTTTCGGCCACAGCGTTTCGGCAGAAGCCGCGTTCAGATCGCGACAGCGAAAGCTTACCAGCAGTATACACTTGACCAGGAACAAAGGCCTTGGGCGGTTCAAGGTTTAGGCTTGAGGGATCTAAGAGACTCCAATATCCCTTAACTAGGGAATATACCTTAAATCATAGTAGGATCCCCAATATGATTTAAGGAATATTCCTAAATTATGGGGATGTTGGAGTCGCTGGCTTGTCAACCCGAAAGGCGAAACCCTTGCCCAAACCGCAGATCTGCGGACAGCACAATGTCTAAACTCTAGAATGCTGCATCCATAGTTGCAGGGCAATTGTCGTCTTATTAGCGTCTTCAAAGAACATCCGAAGACTGGTCGAGGGATAAAGCAGCCTTCGTAGCTGGAATGTGGAGTTGGGACCTATTGTAGTATATAAAATACAGGGACCATAAGCGAATGCTATTTTTTCTGTTCAGCCCGCTACGTTCTGCCACTGATTCCTGCGCCATGCAAAAGGCTCTTGCAGCATTCCTCCGAGATTCTCGAAGCACGGACATCATCATGCGACAGAACCCAAAAGACACCTGTGTCAAACGTAAGGGCCTTACAATATTGAATGGTTCATTAGGGTAGATTCTACCCAAATTGTGATAAGGAGCCCTAAGCCATCAGTATTAACTGATCAGGATTCTATTCATCAACCCAAGGGTAAGAGGAGGGACCCCTAATAAGGACCCCTAGGTATATACCCATAATAAAGCTATTATATACCCATTGTATAGCCCATTATGGGGTAGGGGTCCCCATTAAGGGTCCCTCCTTTTCCCCTCCAATCAAAGCACACAAACATGCTCGCACACCCCTTGCAGGCTCAACCTGAAAGCCTCAACTGAAGCCCTCAAGCAGCACCTACGTAAAACACCATGATTTACTACCCCAATAAGCCACAGAAATAAAAGGGTAAACTTGCGATTCCTACTCAACTATAAGAACCCAAAAAGTTTAAAGGTTGGGTATTGGAGAACTGAGATAATTCCTGAACCCTGCACCAAGCCCTGAAGCTCAAAACCTGCAAACCTAATTCTGCGCCAGTCCACGAAACTGATCGAGATGGCGACAGGCCCCTTTACCCAGTTCATGGAAAGACCTTCGCACGCTTCGGGTTTAGGGCTTAAGGCTTACGGATTAGGGCTTAGGGTTTAGGGCAGGGTTTCGGATTTAGGGTTTAAGGTTTAGGGTTTAGGGCTGGAGCAGAAACAACGCTGGCCAGGCCGGTAGTGATCGAGGAGTCGTACACCCGAAATCCAAACGGGTTAGAGAAGAGATCTTCATAACCCTGAACCGTTAACCGTAGCTTTGCTCCTGTGGACTGCAACAGTTGGAGTTTAGATTATTGGGTTTGAGGTGGGGTTTTGGGGGAGTGCTCGGGGCGAGATTTGGGGTAGTCTCAGCGTCGTTTGGTTTTCGGGTTCACAGCTGACGGTTTAGCTGTGACTGAAAGCCATAAAACAACTTGCCAGGGTACCCACAAACCCGAGCCGCGGAACCTTAAACCAGATAAAGCCTCTTAAGTTTGATGGGAGGCCAAAAGGGGCATTTAAGATTCTTGGGGTAGGGATTCCTTTATTAATATGACCCCTATTATGGCCTAATCCCTACGAAACCCCCATAGGCAAAAACCCCTCTTGGCCTCCTATGAAAGTCCCTCAAGAAGCTGAGGTTGAACCTAGTAAAAGGTTTCGCGTTAAGGGTCAAGTCCTGATAGAACCATAAGCCATATACGCCAAACCCTAAACCCCTAAACCCTAAACCCTAAACCCCAAAACCCTAAACCCTAAACCCTAAACCCTAAACCCCAAAACCCTAAACCCTAAACCCTAAACCCTAAACCCCTAAACCCTAAACCCCAAAACCCTAAACCCTAAACCCCAAAACCCTAAACCCTAAACCCCTAAACCCTAAACCCTAAACCCCAAAACCCTAAACCCTAAACCCCTAAACCCTTAAACCGGCGTAGCCTGCCTGAAGCCTTGGACCTGAGAGCAGTCCTCGTTGACCCAGAGTGAAGTTTTGGCATCTGATCCAAGAAACTATCAGAACCAGGGTTTAGGGTTTAGGGTTTAGGGTTTAGGGTTTTAGGGTTTAGGGTTTAGGGTTTAGGAGTCTTAAAACCTTGGCCCTGCAAAGACCACTCCTGAATTCGAGGTTTGGTGTCCCTAGCCATCCCGAACCGGAACCTCTGCCACTGGCCTATATGGGTAGTTGTCAAAATTAGGGTCCCTTTTTGGGTCGCTAATATTTTACGGCACCTATTATTTAGGGTACCCAAAAAGGGAACCTAATTTTGATAGCTACCCATACAAGACTGTGAAGCTGGCCCGGGAGGCTAGCATGTACTGTAACCTTCGAACATCATGCAAAACCCTACTTGCGAAAATCCTCAACCCGGTTTAGGGTTTAGGGTTTAGGAAACCCCTGAACCACAAACTGACAAAGACTAAAACGAAAACCTTAAACCCTAACCCTAGTATGCCTCTGCAGTGGCCACCTCGAAACCCTACTGCCAAAAACCCTTGTTTAAGGCTTTGACCCCGAAACCCTAACCCCTTGTATACCCCCTTAGAACCACAATACAAATCATACGTTTCAAATTCATACCGGTTTTTTATGAACAAGACACAATTCCTAAAGACACTATAAAAAAAGAGAACTAGACGCTATACAAACCCCTAAACCCCAAACCCTAAACCCCAAACCGTCAACCCCAAACCCCCAAACCCAAACCCCGGAGGAGACTGTCGACTTGTCAGCGCCTTTGAAGAGGGCCATCACGCCCTCGCCTTGGAGGATGGTCCGCATTGAGCCCAGCACCGTTCCTTGCCGGTTTAATCTTTAGCGTTACGGTTGAGGGTGCAGGGATTTATCTTCAGGGTTTGGGGTTGGCAGTTCCATGCTTGAAACTTAGCAGTTTAGGGTCTGGGTCTTGGGATTTCCTGTGTAGTCCCCCCTTCCCCCCAATATGATCTTCAGGGCTTAGGAGGTCGGTGTCACAAATGATTCGTTTGTAGGTGTATCCCCCTTCTGTCACCGTGTGACCAGTAGATATCATTCCCCAAGACGTTGTTCTTCTTATCACTCAATGTCCTTGTATGAAAAATACTACAAAACCCCTGAGCCCTAAACCCTTGTACATGTACAAGTTTTGTGGGACGCTTGAAGGAAACTCTGTATCACTGTTAAGGCCCTTGAAGTACCCGAAGCACGAAGCGCGCTCTGTTGCGGGGGTTGAAGGTTTTCAGGGGTTTCGGGCTTGTGGCTTAGGGCTTAGCTGGGGTTCAGGGTTTGGGGTCGAGGGAGTCATGCAAGGGGTGGTGCAGGAAATTGTAGAGAGCTAATCGCACAAGGCTTACTAGTTGTGCTTAGTATGTTGCGGTCTCTTGATAGGCTCTAACCGAAACTTTCCCGAGACAGCGGTATGCCCATCCTGGTCGCAAAACTTCTGAAGCAGTATCGGTATTGATACAAGTGGGCATTGCAAATGTCGCTTGCCATCCGCATACTTCTTGTGTCTTACTAGTAGAACGACGAACTATCAATGCGGGTAAAAGCCTTCCCCTTGTACATATCTGTCGTCGTAAGACGATACTGGTTTGAGGGCTCCAAAACAGAACAGAGGGAATGACAAATAACTAAGAATTCCGAAAAAAGGCGAACTTAGGCCTAATTCGGTAGGTTTTGCTCTGTGCATTTACATTTGAGACGCTTAAAGGCGGTGGGCTTAGGGATGCAGCTCGTACTCATGCATGTCATAATCACGACGGCCCGAACGCCTCCTAATTTAGGATATCCTTGACGCCGTGACAGCAAGCCCTAGATTCCTTCATCATGTAAGGAGTAACCTTTCGTTAGCAGATACTGGGCTCGATGGCAATTCTTGCATCTGGAAACAACCTTTGTGCAAGAGAGGCTAATTCATCGGGCGTCTACACAGACCTTTGAGCTGTCCGGCAGTGGGCATCGGGAATCTTACAAAGAGTTAGCATTTTGGAGAAAACGCTGTAAACCCTGAGTGGAAAAACGTTTAACCCCTTAATGAGAAACTAGGATGCCCAGTAACCTAGGAATAAAAGCGCTCCCTTGTTGGTATTGGGTAGCTTGACAAGGGACCTAGGAGTATTAAAAAGGGAATAAGGGTACTACTGGGCATCCTAGGAAACCTTAAACCTTGAACCCTCGAGGCACCCTTTACACCCCAAACCGCCCTCATAACCAGGTAGCTGTACTGGTCCGGGTGCACTTGCCTGTGACGGGCTTGGATTCGGTTTAGGACTTGGGTTTAGGTTTAGGGCTCAGGGTTTTTGATTGGGAAGGAACATACGCGGAACTTGTATAGGGCTGCATAGCATGATGCCAGAAACCTTGGAATGTATAGTAACTAGTATAGTGTGTCTGATTATGGCTTTCGGGATATACTCCTCAAGTCTTATCGGGATGTCTTGGAATCTTAACGAATATTCCTGAATTGAGGGGTATGCAGTTGTGCTACATAGTAGCTCTAGAGATGATATCCTACCTTAACCCTGAATAACCTACCTTTTTAGGGTTCCTTATTATGATTTCCTTATATAGGTCCTTAAAAAGGTGGGTTATTTGAGGTTAAGGTAGGGGAAAGTGTCACACATCTCAATCATTCCGGCTTAAGGTAGGCCCTAGACCCCTAAACCCTAAACTGTGTGAATACCGAGGATTTGAACTGGCAAAACTTAATAACCTTATCCCATAGCTCTAGTGGGCAGTTCTCCAACGTAGGTCCCTCTGGGTCCCCAGAAGAGTACGGCACCCTGGCGAAAAGGACCCTAAACGAGACCCGAATTTAGAGAACTACCCAAATCTAAATCCGAAACCAAGTTCCCGTTCCGGATGTAGGCCCCCCCAAACCGTAAAGTCAAGGAACCTAGTATACTTGCCATAGCAACCTAAACCCTAGACCCTAAACCCCTAACCGAAGCCTAGAAACCCCATTCTCGCTAGCTCTTAGCCTCCAACAAAACCCTGAAACTCTGACGCCGAGAGATAGGGTTCTGTAACCACGCAGGGCTTTGAGTAATATAATATTATACAATAGAATAGAACAGATTATAATACGATAAAATATGATACAATATAAAAACTGATACCGAGAACCCCATCTACCCCTTTGATATTAAGAAGGTTGTAGGGCTTCTTCTTATGAGTTTAAGAGCATTCCTTAATTGGGGGAAGGGGGCTCTGAGGGCTTAGGGTTTAGGGGTTTAGGGGCTTAGGGGCTTAGGGGCTTAGGGTTTAGGGTTTAGAAACCGTAAACCCTTAACACCCTCTCAGGTTCGGACGACCGACGCCGAACGATGTCCAAGGGATACGTGATGCCTCATCAGAGCCGCTAGTTGAGCATAGGGTACCTTAACCTGAATACATGCCCTTTTAGGGTTCCTTTTTTATTTCCCTTATATAAGTCCTTAAACAGGTAGGTTCTTCTGGCTTAAGGAGGGGTTTAGCGGTCTTAATGATGCTAATATGGTCTTGGTGCATGAATGAAAGAAGCCTTCCCCAATACCAGGGGCACCATCATTTTAGCATGCTTGTGCGGTATGTTACCGGCATCCTTTGTGTCTACTTGTCCACACCTCTCTATTTTTGAACCCTTCATCCGGGTCTCAAAACCCTTCTGCGCTGGTTCAAGGCTTGTATGTTTTATGGTTTAGGGCCTTGGTTGTTGAGGGTGCCGGTTTGGGGGTGTGCGGGGGTAGGGGATAAACATGTTACCAGTAGCAGGCAAACCTGGTGTGCCTTGGTGATCGAAAGATTTGGAAACTGGCACACAGGCGCCTGCCGGAGTACAACGCGGTTTGGAGTTGCGTATGTCCCACAAAATTCCCAAAGCCGAACCCTAAACCCTAACCCCAAAAGCCTAAACCCCAGACCCAAAACCCCAAACCCTACCCAAACCCCAAACCCAAAACCCTAAAGCCCAAACCCTAACCCCAAAATGCCGCAAACCCTAAACCTCAACCCCCTAAACTCTGACATAGGGTGGCTTCTGCCTGACCCGGCTACTGTAATGAGGGTATACCTCAAACGAGAGTACGATTCCTCAGCAAGACATAAGGTATCTTCCTTAATTAAGGGAGATTCCTAAAATCATATGATGGATCCTACTATGATTTAAAGGTATCTTTTAAGGTAATTATCTTCCTTATTTCAAGGATTTTGGAAGGCCTGGGAAGTCAACTGACAAGTTTGGATCTTGCTTAGGGTAATGCAGGAACCATGGACCACTTCCCATCATTGTACTGAACTCGGTACCCGTGGGAAAAAGTGACTTCAGCTGTGTCTTAGGGATCACAGTAACCAGGCATGAAAAGCTGTTTCCACGTATCCTTAAGAACGTAGGATCTAGACTTGAGAGTCCCGATAAACACCATTGGGGTCTTGATGAGGGTCTTACATCATCGGCTTGTGCTGACGAATAAAGCACGGGAGGCTGGTTGGTGTATCCACCATCAACCGGCAGGACCAATTGCCGGCGATCACGGCGACTATGGTCACGCGCACAGTGCTCTAGCGCTGTTGCCCGATTGCTGGGGTGGAGAGCGCCGACTTGAAGCCAATCGTCCATGACGGCAGCGGTTGAAGACAGATAGCTTCAGGGGGGGGCCCTCGGCGTCGGTCGCAGTAGTCCTCGACCCGCCCAGGCAACGGCTGAATCTTGAGCAAAATCCCAACAGCGTACTCCAATCCGACCAAACCATACCAAACCATGAGCAACTAGGCTTTGACAACTAGTCCCGAAAAGCAGAGCGCTGCTTTAGGATTAGTACAGAGTATCTTGAAACGATCGACTCTGAATGCCCCCAATCCAGACAAAAGATGTTGCAACCAATGTACAAGGGAGGCTACTGGGGTGCTTCCACATTAGTGCAGGGGGAGGCATATATGATCCCGGTTCTCGGTTCAACCACACCACACCACAGGGGGGGGAGGAGGAACCATTGGGGGGGGGGGGGGGGGGGGGGGGGGGCAGGGGGGAGGGGGGGGGGGGCGACCGAACCGGGATCATATATAAGCTAAACCCTGAACCCGAAATCCTACACTCTATCCCTCAAACCCTAGGCGCTTACTACTAATATCACGAGAAACCCTGCTAGCACCCGATCAAAGTAAACCCTTGTGAAGGCCTTGCTTACCCAACACACCATTGAAACCCCTCACAGATGCCCGATCACTGAACGTGAAAACAGATGCCCAAACCCCAAAATTAAACCCCTGAACCCCTGAACCCTAATCATCCTAAACCCCAAAATCCCAAAACCTAAACCCTGAACCCTGAAACCTGAAACCCTAAACCCAAAAACCCACCCTAAACCCTAAACCCCTAAACCCAAAAAGAACCCGGGACCGAAATGCTCAGGGCCCTGCTCTGCGCTACGAGTCCCGCAAACGCACCAGCGCCCAGCCGTGTGAAGGTGCCAATGTCGCTTTGCGACTGGAGTCCCTGCGTTTACGGCTTAGGGGTTTAGGAGTTTAGGACTTTAGGGGTTTAGGGTTTAGAAACCCTGAACCCTGCGTTTAGGGTTTATGGCTTGTGGGTTCAAGGTTTGAGGGTTAAGGGTTTAGGGTGTGGAGAGTCCCTGCGTAGCAACATGCAGGGGTGAATTTATATCATACTACACCTTTCATCAGATACTAGAGGGGAATACTAGTAAACCAGTGACCATTCTGAATATGAGATCTTATCAAGCATAGTCATAGTGGAACAGCTTGACAGATCAGGGCACTGCGTAAGTAGGTTTATAGGAGTCCTTTCATTGGGGCTATAAGTTGGTAGAAATATCTTACCTACAACCCGGCTTCCTAACTTCGCTGATCTGTCAAGAGGCGAAACTTCACCGACGAATTTCACGCATCTGGGCTTTTAAGCATTGGGTTGCAGGATAGACAAGGCTCACTCACAACAAGAATGCTACTGTTTGAGAGCACTAACTTTTACTATAGGTGTCGGGATAGTGAATAACACAGTTCCCTCATAGTGCCTCTATAACACCAGTAAAAATGCATCATGACGTGACCCTCAACTTTAAACTCATGGTTGGCAGCTCTTCTTAGAAGTTGAACGAACAGCTACTTTCTTGCAGACCAGTCTGTACAGGAGCAGCACCCACAAAACCGAAGGCCTCTCCTCAGTGTAGCGAGCACTTTGCAGCTCCACTCTAAACCCGAACCCCCTAAACGGTGCCCCAACCCCCAAATTCCTAAACCCTATAGTGAACCCCAGAAAGTTGGAACATAGAATGAGGATGATTCATGCTGGGATTCCCTATACTTTACTTTAAGGGCACTTTAGGCTAATGATGTTCCAACTTTCTGGCTCCTACTATAACCCCATAACCCTAAACCCTAAACCCTTTATGGAACCCTTAGAGATCCCTTTATGGAACCCTTCGAGATCCCTTTAAGGAACCCTTTAAAGGAACCCTAAACCTTACCGGCCTGGGCTTGCTTGATGTACACCTTGAGGGTGCCAAAGACGCTGAAGGAGATTCCCGAGTAGGGCACGATGCCTTCGGAGCAGTGCTTTGTGGGACTGTCCGGGTTGCCTCAGGGTTGCTATGTGGGGTAATATAGGGGCCTTACCTTACTAATTACCTACACTATTTTCGAGGGTTCCTTATTGTAAGTATAGTATAATGGGCCCTCAAACCCTATTCTCCCTATAGTAATAAGCTTCGCTCTCCGGTCTACTTTCAAGGTTGCTATTTTCGTTTAGACGCAATTTGGGCTAGTGAGTGTTGATGGTTTGACTATTGGGGTTAATATCAGGGTTACCAGACGGGCTGCTGTTGGTGTGAGGCTTGCCATACCTGGCTATCTTCGGGTGGGCTAAGGGCTGGGCGGTCTAGGCAAGCTGCAAGATCATGATTGAGGTAATTCGGGTTTGGTAAATGTATTTTGGGGCCGGGGGTGAATACATCCTGGGTACAAGACCACTGAATTACAGAGCTTGGGTTTAGTCTAGGGTTTTGGATAAGTCTTGATTAGGGTTTGGCTTTAGGGTGCATGTGGGTCAAGGGTTTGACGTTTGTTCGGGTTCACTTCCAGCCGTGCTTTTGGAAACCGTAATGCCAAAACTCAGCCAGTAACTTGTCTCTCGCGTTCACCGGAAGCCTTAGTGCCGGCTTGCCACCCTTCTGGCATTTAACAGCCTCTTCGTTGGACTACAGACCAGGCTGCCCCGCTGAAACGATTTTGCACTTCCTAGGACGTCGCGTGTTTGCTTTGCAGGCAGTAGAACTGCGAGCCGTGGTTTCGAAGCTCTGCTAAGCTCTGTGGCTGCAATGACTTTAAGACAAAACGCCTGTTGCAGAAGTTTGCCACTGCAATGGAACCAAAGCCCAAGGCCCTAAATGGTTTGTACAATAACCAAGCCTTACATCTGGGCCCAAAGACGGAACTCAAAAGAGGCCGCTAAAACCTGAACCCCGGAAACCCTGAGGGGCCGAAATCCCGCATTGTAAACCCAAACCATAAACTTGGCTGACTTCTGAACCCCTCCTAAAAGTTAAACTTTTAGCCTACTTATTATCGTCCATTAGAAACCCAAAAGGTTAAAGTCCTAAGAGCCAACCAGAAGAACGCCAAGATAAATCAGAAATACCCCTAAAGCCCAAATCCATTTACTCATGACCCTCCTTCCTGAGTCCCCTGAACCCCCTCAGCCCTAAACCCTTCAACCCCTTAATTAAAGGAACCCGTCTTACCCAGAGACTCCAATATGCCTTAATTAAGGAATACACCTTAAATCATATTAGGGATCCTACTACAATTTAAGGTATATTCCTTAATTAAGGGATATTGGAGTCTCTGGGTACAGGAACCCTGAGAGCAAGCCCCGGGGCCTAAGAGCGTCGGCTTCAAGCCACTCCAGAGCGCGAGGGTGCCCTCTGCTCGGACGATCTGCGACACGGCGCGCAGGTAGCCGTCGTAGGCGGCTGTGCCTCGCTCCAGGGTGGGTTCCTTTGCACTCAAAGCGACTTTTTATAGCGGCTTTTAGCTGAAGGGTCGAGGCTCTGCTGCAAGGATCAGGAGACTTAGTAAGACGAGCTTTAAGTAAGGCCATGAGAGTTTGCACAGAGGGCTTTTATAAAATCCTCGATGCTTTAAGTCAGGCAAGAAGAGTTTAGACTCGTTGCCCTGATTGCTGCTTGATCCTTTCACGTGGCTCTACGGGGTGTGCGGGGCCCAACACCCCCGAAGTAAGTCAGGAATAATCCTTCATGAGAGTACGTTACTTTACGTTTAGGGATCTCACGCCCGTGCTTCATACCTACTTGATTTTAGGGTGCTTTGGGGTTTAGGGTTTAGGGTGCTTTAATCATCAGAACAGCGTTTGGGGTATACCGCCCTAAGGAACTGTAGTAGTGGTCATTCAGGCTTCTACACCCCAAACCCTAAAACCCAGCTCTATAGTATTGGGCTGTCTGGAACTTTCATAAGCCCCAAAAAGTTTACACTTTTAGTTTTATAGTGGGTAATATTATCCCCCCAAAGTGTAAAGTGCATCCACTCAGCTACTAGGGGAAAAAACAAAGGTCTCAAATCGCCAGCTCGCAAAGCAAAGCTCGAAAGATCAGGAGTCTACCCCCTCAGCGAAGAACCCTCAACTACGGCTTCCCGGTTGGGGCTTCGGAGGCTTTTAGGGCTTAGGGTTTTTAAAGTTTAAGACTTGTGGGCTCACGGTTGAGGCTTCGGGGCTTTAGGGTTTAGGGCGTCGAGGGTTTCTAGGGTTTGTTGGCTCAGGCCTTGAAAAAACTAGCGTTTAGGGTTCAGGGCTTGGGGAAGCCCCAAAGCCCTGAATCATACAAAAGCTGTTTAGTGTTTAGGGGTTCAGGGGTTTAGGGCTTAGGGGTTTAGGGGTTTAGGGTTTAAAGCCAGAAGTGCGCCTTGAACCCCAAAGCCACCCAAAAAAAATCCCCACAGGAAAGGCCCAAACGGGCCTTGGTGCGCCGCCATGCGAGCCTCAGGCGTACACCGGACAGAAACGTTGAGGCTTTCAAGTTCTGCAGGCTTCAGGTCTTAAGAGCCCAGAGCGTTAAAAGTTCGCATTCGGAGGTTTCGGGTTGAGGGCTTTGGGTTTTAGGGTTTCAAAGGTGTCAGATTTCATGCTTTCGGCCCTTACCCCCTGAACCCCGAAACCCTAACACACAAACCCCAAAACCAAGGCCTAAAACCCTGAACTCCAAATCCCTAACAACCTGAACCCCCCCTCCCCAACAAATGGAAACTTCAAAGCCAAACCGCAATGTATGGACCTTCACGATTAGAGCAGGGTTTTGGCGTAGATGACAGTGTAATCTCAAAAAAACCCATAAGGGGATACCAGCTACTAAGAATTCCGACCCGTTTCAGTTTCCCGGCCCTAAACTCTGAACCCTGAAACCCTAAACCCCAGACCCCCAAATCCCAACACCTTGAGCCCGGCAGCTCTCAGCAAGTCCAGTGGGTACGTCAGTGTGGTGGCCGTTGCCCCGGCAGCGGCGCCGGCGAGGAATCGGACCTGGAGAGATGAAGGGCTGAGAAGCCACTAAATCCTACACCCTAAGTCAAGGTTCCGGCGTCGTGCTTTTATTTCAGGGACTTAGCTGCGATATGCGGTTTTGTGAAGCATAAGGTTGAAGGCTCTGAATTTTTCAGGTTTACGATTTCGAGCTCGAAGTATAGAGCCTGGAGTTTAAGGTTGAGGAGATTTTAGGAGTTTAGGATTGAGGGCGTCGAATTGGGCAACGAAGTTTCGCAGGTCATGGTCAATAACACTAATTTCGGAAATGGCCCTGAGGTGCGGTTGTGGGGCCCTGAAACACACCGAAACAGATCCCAGGACCACAAAGCCGAACTAGGATTAGGGCTTCAGGATTCTAGGTGCCGAGTTGACAGAGCAACTCATGTCGGCAATCGCCGTTCAGGTTTGCAAAGTAGCCATTTGGGAGGTCGGTTACCGTTCGACACCCTTACAGGGACAACAGACCCGACACAAACATCAAATGATCAACTATGCAGCCTGCACAAGACCGACTCTAGCCAGCGAGTTTAAGGACAACTTTATTTCCCAGATGGCAGGTCGAGCCCTAAACCCTAAACCCTGGCATGTTGGGGCATGCAGTTGAGAGTGCTTAGTTAGTACAACGCCTACCCAGACCAAAAGCCAAAGACTCCGTAAGACTCACTCTACTTGGAGGGTCGTGGGACTTAGTAACTCTGGTTATAAGTCCCTTAATTGGGGTTATATATAAGTATAGTTACCCCAATAATAACCTAGTTACTAAGTCCCATGAATTTAAGGAGAGGATGCACTCTTTAGGCAGCCCTTGAAGGAACCCCTGAAGCTGTGCCTGCACGTCACCCAGGTCGGGCACGGTGTAACGTAGCCAGGCCTCTAAAACCCAGGCTGTTAGGGCTCTTTCAAAGGTTCCTTAACAGGTTATTAAGGGTTCCTTTTCGCTCCTGGCAAGGACTCCGGTAAGAATCCCCCTGTAAGGCAATTACGGGCTTCTTCAAGCGTTCGTTTAAGGCTTCCTTAAAGCGCTCTGGCAGCGTCCCTCTCTCTGAGGCTCCAAAAAGTGCTCGGGATTTAGATTTTGCAGTTTAGTTCTTCTTGAAGGATCCGAGGCTTTGGCAAGTCTAGATCCCGAGCAAAAGGGTGTGAAGTTTTCGGGTTTCGGGATTTATGTCTAGGGGCGTTTTTGGGTGGAACAAAAAGCAAACAAACCCCGAACACCTCAAAGACCAAAAACAACCCCCAACAAAACACAAAACAAAAAAAGCGACACAACACCAGAGAACCTTACACCAAATCAATCCACAGCTCGGGAGAGCACAGGCCTTGTAGGGCTCGAAGACGGTGAAGCTGGTCCTCGGATTCAAAAACCCTAAACCCTGAACCCCTAGAACCCTCCACCCTAAACCCGAAAACATCAGTTCGGCGCAGCTTGGCTTTCTCGATTTCTGAGAGTTTAAGGGTTTAGGGTTCAGGGTTTAGGATGATCTCTGAGAGTGTAGGCTCGTTTCTTAGTTCTGCAAACTTTGGTCTGTCGTCTTCGGGGGTCATGCCGGAAGGAAGCTCGGCAACCTTCATCTCCAGGGTTCAGGGTTTAGGGGCTTAGGGATTAGGGGCTTTTATTGTGGGGATGTTCGGACTCGTTGAGTGCACTCTGCGAGCATGCAAATCCTCAGCGGATGCAGCGCATCCATTCATCGGGCAATCCCACCAGGGCTACCTTCAGCTCGCCTGGTGGTGTGCCACAGGTGGGGCAGAGGACGAAGCGATCTTCACACAAAAACGCTGTCCAAAGCCCACTATTAATCGCGACGGCGCTTCGCGCACGTTCAAAATTGGCGATTTGTGCCAAAGCCAGCACAAAAGATCGCGGAGACTATCAGAATCCTGGTAAAGCGACAGTGGCAGATCCTCACAGTCTACGCCCTCGAAAGCACGTGTGCTGAGGGCAGCACAAACCGCAGCAGACAGCTCGGCTGGCTTGTTGTGAAAGCTGCGCACGATCCTCTCCAGCGGTGCCCTCCAAGGGAGGCGCTGTGGCGGGGCAGGAGCAGCGGTAGGAGCTGGGTCCATGGTGGCCCACCATGGTCGCGGGCCCGAGGCTTTGGCGGCCGGCTGCCAAGCGAGCCTCGGTCCTTTGACGCAGGTCTGCAGCTCGATATCCGCCTCTTCGTAGACCCGGAGGCAGCGTTCAGCTCGTTTGAGGTGCTGCTGTAGTCGCTCCGTAGTCCAGTACTCGGTACCGCAGCACTGGCAACGCGAGTAGCTCTCGCCTGAAGCCCGTGCACTTTTCGCTGGTGTGCAGCGCAGGCTGCGGCCGCACTGCTGGCAGGTTGAGGGGCCTAGCTCTGACGGCGGAGTTCCGGGTAGCCTGCCGAAGATGCAGCCTCCGACTTGTGCTGCTGTCTCAGTGTTTTACAGAGACCTTTCATGGACGCCTCGTGCAATATAATGCTGCGCCATCCAGCCAAGGAGCTGGGACTTTTTGACGGTTTTGGTACGGGCACGGCCCGTCCGCCGCGCCAGAGGGCCGGCGCCACTCCATGCACCTGGGTTTTCAAGAGCAAGGGGTAGTGCGCCATGGCGGCACCTAGCGCATCGCCACTGAATGCCTCTCACGGTATGCCAGAGACCCCAGCGGCACGTCTGGGCTGGAGTTGGCCATACCCTTGCGCCAAAGCCGAGAGCGTGAGTGACGGGCAGGCTTCTAGAAAGGAGCCACTTGCGGGCACAAGGTGCGCACAGACATCTTCTGCCGTGCACTCAACGGCTCGCTCAGCCTTAGCAAAGGCACGGCCGAGCATGAGATGGGAATCATGATTGTGCTCATCTGCTCCTTCAATGCACGGTCCAAGGGCTGGCGGTCGGTAACGTCGTCCCTGCCGCATGACGTGCCGAAAGGCACGATACAATTGCTCGGGACCTTGAGCTCTGGCGTCCTTAATACGGGAGCGGGCAGCTTCAGTGGCATCCTCCCGAGCCTTGCGTCGGATGAGGTTCGAGAGGTCACGCAGCTGTGTGACCAGCATGGCTTCGTACAAATCGGCGGTGCCATCGCTGGAAGGGGCTGCGCCGTGGGCCCATGACTGGAAAACAGCACAGCCAGAAGGCGTCGCCGATGCTGCAAAACCAGCGCATGCAAGTCTCTGCGCAGCTCGCGTCGGTCACGAACTAGCCGCCAAGTAGCTTCCTAGATGACAGGAGACCGGGGCTGCTGAGCGGGGGCCGGGAAGGCCCGCGACAAGGCCGCCAGGAGATGCTCATTAAGGCATCGAAGGTGCTGGTCAACAGGAAGGTCCCAAGGAAGAGCAGGCAGCTGATCGTAGATGAGCCGCAGTTGGGATTTTCCCTGAGGTGTAAGCATGGCCCTGGTGTCCAGTCTGGGTCGTGTGCGCTGACGCCGGGTGTCTCTGTGGAAGCGGAGCCGAGCAATCACAGGCTTATGATCCAAGTCGTTTTGGCATTGGAAATCAACAATGCACCCCAGGGCGTCGAAACCGGGCCGTAGATGTAGTCCAAGCATTTGGGCTGCTGCAATGGCCCGGTCCAGCTTTCGACTCTGGCACCATCAGGGGTCATGTTGGCTGTGGCAGTGAGCTGCTGCTCCTCTAGTAGTCGAGCAAAAGCGGCCGCGCTAGATTTCAGAGCACTGGCAGAGTCTGGCGGCGTCGGCTGCCAGGCAAAGTGAGCGTTTGCGTCCACCATCAGGATGGGACACGCATTTGCTGGAGCGCGACGAAGAGCAGAGTGTAAAGTTTCCCACCACATGCGACATTCTTGGTCACTCGCTTTTGAAGTGGGTGCGTGCGCAGCGATGAGCGCAAATTTGATCGATGCAGCTCTGGCCGTGACAACCAAAATCCGCGGACATGCCCACACAATCGCAAAAGATCCAGGGTCCCAATAAATGGCCCCTTTGCAGTCGACCCCGACTGGGACTGTTTTCGACAGCCACACTTGACATCCATCTTGGCCAGCATGTGCAGAGCTGGCGAATGTGTGGTAGTGTCGGGTAGAGCCCCGACCGTCGGCAGTGGTACGGGTTTCCTGGATGCCTACGAGGCACAGGCCAGCAGCCGCGAATTGGGCATCCAAGCTTTCGCGCTGCAGAATTGAGGCCAAGGTCAGGCTGTTATATGTGGCGACCTTGAGGTCCACCTTGGTAGAGCGCGCCGGCTGTTCGGTCGCAAAGTCCATGCTTTGCGCCAGTGTGGTAGCCTCCGGACGGCTATCGGATCCCGCAGCAAGAATGCCATCATCTTGAATGCGTGGCAGACTGTGGCACATATTGGCCGCAAGTGCCAGCCAGGGCAATACTTCTTGCTGGCTGGCAACAGCCAGACTGGCAGGGACCATCGAAGAATCCAGGGAGCAGGCAAAGTGCTTGGCAATGCAATCAGCAAGGTCGTTGAAGACATGTCCTGAATGGGAATCAATGTGAAGCTTGGCGGGCATCTTCCTCTGCAGCCGGAGCATGTGCGAAAGAGCGATGCCAGCATGCGCAAGTGGCGTGGGCTCAGCCTGCGTCGCCTCGCCTGTGGCAACTTGAAGTGCCGCCTCGTTATCGTAGCCTATTAGAGCCGGTGCCTGTGTTTGCAGAAGGAAAGCCAGTGCAAAGATGTCCGCTGCAAGCTCTGGCTCAAAAGAGGACCGGACGGGTGTGCCAAGAGTTGCGCCAGTGCCTTGGGTGGGGGCACAGGTCGCACAGTATCCAAGCCATGGCCATGAGCCCTTTTGCAGTGCAATGGCAGAAAGAGCCCAACCCGCTTTAGCCGGGGTGCTCGGCCCGGCCGGGTAAAAGGAGCCGTCCGTACATAACTGAATGGCTTCAATGGGATCCGGTGTGGCCAAAGGCATGGCCTGCATGAACTGACGCACCTTGGGCGGAAGATCGAAGGCTTCCAAAGCGGTCCGCAGGCAGGAAATCTGGCAGTCGCCGAAAGCCTCCTGAAGCATGTCAGCGTTCACACCGAGTCGGAGTTGGCATCCAGCATGCGCAGGATCTGCTGGCAAGCATGATGAAAGACTGAGGCACCGCGGCGGTGCCTTCCCGGAAGGCTGGGCTGTCGCGGGTATGTGACGCCGGCCAAAGGGCGTAGGAACCCCCCTGACTTTGTGGTCCAGACGCAAGGGCTCATAGAGGACGCCAGGTCCGACTGCGGGACCCTGTGCCAGTGAGTTGCAGCTCGTGGCGGGGGCAGGGTCATGCGCAACAGCACTGCAAGTGACAACACCGAGGTCGCAGCGACATCCGACTGTATCCTGGGCCGGCAGCTGAGCAAACTTTTGGCATCGCTGTAGTTGTTTAAGTTGTGGATCGGGAATCTGCACAAGGGATGTGCCACCTGTGCCAGGACCCGGTGCAGGTCTAGCATCGGAAGAGCTGGAAGGTCGCCTTGGTGCCGCACCTTCCCGAACGACTTGTGCTTGAGCCTGCCACAACGTGGATGTAGGCAGATGCGACCTCAACGAATTCGTCATCAACCTTTGCCGGCGCATCGATCTTTGCAAGACCTGTGCCCTCGGCCAAGTAGTTTGCTCCGATGTGGGCTTTCCAAGGGGCTTTGAGAACCCTTGCCAGGAGCTCATAGAACGGGGTGTAGTCGAGCGAAATCAACTTCGCGTAGACGCTCCTGTTCATTTTGTCCAGGATCGCATAGACAACCAGATGCTGAGCCGCTCCTGCTGGCGCTGCCTCCAGCCTCATCCGGAAATCCAGGGTGGCTCCAGGGTAAGCCATCATAGCTGTCCCTGGTGCAATGCCCTAAGCCCTCAGCAGGTCTCGAGTGGAGAGTGCGTGCCCCACGCCATGTACGTGGGAAGCCAGCAGCTCTTCATCCACTTTTCCGCTGTCGGTGCCCACAAGTGCTAAATAGCACTTTCGCGTGATTGTCGAGGAAAATCCTGTTCCAACCCCTACATGATGGTTTGTTTGCCACCATGAGACTTTCGTCGACAATACGAGCGTCACTGCTCCTTGAACCAGAGGGGTCAAATCTGCGTCCTTCACGGCCTGCAACTGTTCTTGCGTGGGGTTGGTCCGTGTCTTCGTGAGCTCAGTGTCGCGTGCTTCCATGGCGTAGAGAGCGGCTGCAAAGTGGACGGATCGGATGTACCGTCTCGTTTCCGGAGCTGTTGTGGCTGGGACGTCGACCAGTGCAGCTGCGATCACAGCAGCCTCATTGCGAGTCATGCTCGAGTTGAATTGAAGCTTGAATTGATCACCTCGAACTATGTCGATGCCAGCAGCGATCCCGGCCTCGGTGATTCCGTTTGCAACGGTACCCAGGTCCTTCACAATGTCGCCGAAAATGGGTTTTAGGGTTTAGGGTTTAGGGGCTTAGGGTTTAGGGCCTTTCTTGCTGTGTGCATATCCAAGAGGCTTGTGGCTTAGAGCCTAGAACACTTCGCAGGATTTCCAGCAGGCAGCGACCCCCAAACCCTAAACCAAAAGCCCTAAAGCCTAGACCCAAAACCCTAAACCCAAGACGCAGCGAAGTGGCGCAGAGTAGGGCACCACGCGCAGCAGCGTCGCACCGTGACCCCTCCAGAGCCCGGGAACCTCGTATGGGTGATTGTCAAAATCATGGTCCTTGGGTCCTTAAAGCGTTTAGGGTTTAGGGTTTTAGGGTTTAAGGTAACACGGCACCTAAAATTAAAGGTACCCAAAAAGGGATCCTAATTTTAACAACTATCCATATGGGATTTTGTCTTGTTTGAAGGTTCATGGGCCCTCACAAGAAGGCATAACAGTTTCTTGCTTGGGGTTGCCACTGGCTACGTGTATCGTTATTTACAAAGTGTCCATACCTATGCATGGCCCTTCAAGTAAGCCTGAACCTCACAGACTACGAGCCCGAAACATGCAATTAGCCGTGACTGGCAGTTCCAGTACCCGTCAAACTCCGCTATAACAGTATCTTTGAGCCTAGCTTCTCCATCTATGGCTAGCTGTGAATTAGACAAGAAGACAAGTACAACCAGAACTTAGTAGAGCCGCCGTTGCTGCGACGACCGAAGCACCCATGTCGGAACCGGTACCGGAACACGTTCTGCCCGGACCAGTACTGGCCCCGTAATAAAGCCACTATCCAAAACCCGGGGAAGGACAGCACGTTTTGTCATGAGTTTAGGCTTAAACCCTCAAAAGAAGAGTTTGAGTAAACCCTAAACCCTAAACCCGGGTTGTTTGGCCGCCCTATACGGCGCGGGGGTTTAGGGTTTAAGGCTACATCTCAGTCTCAGGGTGCCTTCGCAAGTGCGTGGTTGTCAAAATTAGGGTCCCTTTTGGGGTCCTTATTATGATACGGCACCTACTATTTAGGGTACCGAAACAGGGACCATAATTTTGACAACCATGCAAGTATTTATCACATAACCCTGAACTCTAAAACCTGAACTCTAAGACCTCAACGCTAACGAGGGCTCCTTTGGGGTCTCTATATGGGGCATAGGGTCTAGGGCTCACCCCACAAGCTCGGTGAAGCAACACACCGAACCTCCAAGGATCTGCCACTGCATCCTAAAAACAGCGGGAGTTTCCGAAAATAGGGGACCCTAATATAGTACCCTGAATAGTCGGATCCCTATTATAAGGACCCCCGGCTGACTTCTGAACCCCTCCTAAAAGTTAAACTTTTAGCCGACTTTATTATCGTTTAGATAGAAACCCAAAAAGTTAAAGTCCTAAGAGCCAACCAGAAGAAAGCCAAGAACAAGTGGCGGGACATAAGGTTTGTCGTTTCGTGGGGGCACTCTGAAGTTAATCTTTGGGTTTTATGGGAACTCTACTGCTCCAGAAAGCGTAGGCCACGTAATATAGAGGCCATATTAGTTGGCGCAGGTGTTTGGGTTATATCGTATTTTACTGAAGGAGACCTGGGCAATAATATGGGTAATCGTTCAACCCGCTATGTTGCTCGGCTCGACTTTCTGCGCCAAGCTGCGCCCTCAGAGCTGTGTATTTCCTTCCTGAAGGCTCGCGGCGGCTAGTGTTGCGATTCCGGGTGATTTCGTGGATCTTTGAGGGTTTCGGGCTTAAGGTTGGCTTTTGTGGATCGGATTTCGGGTTCAGGTTGGGTACTGCCCCCATACAGTAACAGTCTATAATGGGGCTACCATTAAGGTCCTAAAATATCTATAATATGAATATTATCCAACTGTTACTGAGTGGGGGCAGTACGCAAGGTTCAGGGGTTGAGTGAGGCTTTAGGATTTAGGCTTTGACTAGGGCTCAGCAGTATCTGTAGAGGTCTACCAAGCACCATATTTCTGGATTCCACAGGGCTCCGCATGGCATCAACAAACGTTACACGTTGATACCGTGATATCACTGCAGTAGTTGGTGTAACATAGGAGCCTTCATAATGTGAAGGGGGTTTCTCGAGGTATGTTCATGTACATAGATGATGAAGAACCCTAACAAGTAATATTGGAAAACTCCTTAGGCCTCAAAGCAGAGTCTTGGGATTCGTTCAGGGATCAGAGCTTGCGTTTCATTGAAGGTGTCAATGATTGTGGTAAGCTTGGGGTTTTCTTCGGGAGAATGCCTGGCGGGATTCGGGTCGGGAGCTTTTCTGGAACAAGGGTGGGCTACCGAGAGCCCAATTTATAAGGAAGATTCCTTGAAGTATAGAAAGTTTCTTGCTATGCTTTTCAGATGCTGGCCCATCTGAGTTAGGTTACGCCTTCACGCACTAACAGTGATCACAAGGGATAGTTGTAGCCACTGTAGCACCGCTACTCGGCGGGCCTACACCAAAACAAAAACGGGCTTCAGTTTCCTGTTGGGGTTTGAATTTGTGTCTTGACCCTTTTTCAAAAATACTTCTGTGGTTTCGGATGCCTCAGGGGATCCAAAAAGGAGCACTTTTAAGGGGTTCCTATAAAGTACCCTTTGGTAGTACAGGTAGTCTTGGTATAGGGTCCCAAATCAAGAGTCTACTTTTTTGTGTCCTTCCGCGGGTCTGGGTTAGCGGATAATGAGACTGTCAGTTATTGAATATGTGTCACATACTCCAGCCGAATTCTTTCCTATGTACGAGCAGAGGTTCTAAGGCTTTGCAAAACCACAATGCCGGTCCTGATTGATTCCGCTCGTATCTACTTTAACTTGAACATATTAAAAAATGACAGGAACACCTCGCACCTGCATGCCAAGCATCAACCGAAAGATCACATCTCGCCAGGAGAAACGGCGAGTCTTATCCGTCTGGTACATGATCTTGATTCTGTCCTCAGGCTTAAGGCTCAGAAATTATCTTTAGTTGTCGATTGTCAGCTGGCTTTAGGAGTAGAGTTCCTCATGCTTGGATCAGCCGCTAACCCTCAAGCCTGCAGGGTTCAGTGTTTTTGGTTCAAGTTTCGATTCTAGGGCCTAGGGGTTCTAGGGTTTAGGGTCCAGGGGATTTTCGGATTGATGCTGGTTTAAGGTTTCAGGGCCTCGGCATTGAGGGTTTACGGCCTTAGTGCTTTAACCTACCGCCAAAATAGCTCCCATGTTTTGAGCCGAAAGCCCTAAACCTCAAACCATCTTGATGCATATCTCGGAAGCCTCATGACGTACTAGAAAAACCAAAGCCGATGCATCGAAAAGCTCGTATCAGCTCTTGTCTGCAACATCAACAGTTACATGCAGATTCCAGAACCTGGGATCTGTAGCCACATGCTTTGATCTCGGAATCGCGATATGCAAAGGCCATAAGCAAAAAGTAGTATGCTGAAGCAGCTGCACTGATGTGCATCACCACCATCAGCATCGACATCCTCACCATCCTCATAACCATCACCACTATCGACAGCAGCAGCATCTGCATCACAATCTTCCTGCTATACTTGCCGATACCCAAGTAGCGTAGACTATTCTATACTGCGCTGTGCTACACTACAGTGTGCTACACATTGCATTACTACACTATAACACCGACATCAACAGCATTACCACCATCGCCATCCCTGGAGAGACCACGAAAATCCAAAACCAGCCTTTCAGCCAGAAAAGTCTGAAACCTCCCTGGCTTCCGGTTTAGGGTTTAGGGTTTAGGGGCTTTGGGGGTTTTGGGGGTTTAGGGGTTTAGGGGTTTAGGGGTTTAGGGGTTTAGGGTTTAGGGTTTAGGGTTTAGGGTTTAGGGGTTTAGGGTTTAGGGTTTAGGGTTTAGGGGTTTAGGGTTTAGGGGTTTAGGGCTTTTGGGGTTGGAGGGTTCGGAGACTTCGGCTGATGCTTCGAGACTCGTGGGTTCAGAGTTCTCGAGCCCAGGCCCCGAACCTCAAAATTCTGAACCGGAATTCTCTCGTAGCAAGCCTGATACCAACCATGAAGGAACCCTTGAAGACAAGCAAACAAATCGCAAAGAGATGCGAACCCAGCCAAGCAGCCAGAGGTGCGATCACAGTCTTGGCCTTGTTTTTATCGTCTTTAAGATATGCGGTTTAAGGTTTGGCGCTAGGGTTTAGGGTTTATAGGGCTAGGGTTCAAGGGTTTAGGGTTTGGGCTTAGGGTTCAAGGTAAAACCTGTTCTCACTTTAAACACCGGTTGTAGGTCTGTACGCAATTCTGTATGGAGCTTCAAGTGCCCGGAAAAGCGCCCATCAGGTGCATATAGAAACCATGTCCAGGCGATCCGTATTATGTGCACGTGTTGTTCTACATTTTTGGGGTGGTGTCCGCAACCTAAACCTTAAATCCCGATCCCGAAAAGAACCCCCTAAGCTAGTGGTGCCTTGAGAGCCATGATCACACCCTTAAAGCCAAGACCTGTCCACCCCAAAACCACAGATTCTCAACCTCGAACCTTTTCTCCCAAACTGTCACTCGTGTCCTGGCGCAAGCACTAGACGAAACCACTCAAGGTTCAGAAAAGTTGGGTTTGAGACTCCTGAAGGTGGCCCTTTGCAATACTAACGACTGCAGGTTATACAAGTCTGTCCGCCTGTTTTTCGTTTTTAAAGGGCTCCTTTTGGGTCTGCACGAAGCAGGACTCAAAAGCCCGAGTGGGCTGAGCACAGGTGGGTTTAGGGTATTGCTGTTTGGTTTAGACCTCAAGGTCTAAGTTGCTCAACCGCTGAACAATTTAACTTTCAAACCCTGAATGAAAACCTAAATCCTCAAACCGTAAAAAAACCTTGACCCGTAAGCCCTTAACCCTAAACCGAAACCCCGAACCCCTTAATTCGAAAACGAAACCACTGCTCCCCGAGTCTGGGTTACTGTTAGGAAACACAAAAAGTATCCTTCTCGGAGGCACGCTTTTAGAGTATGCAAGAATCCAACCCACAAAAAACAAAAGAATCCTGACGATTCAGAGCCCTTTCGAACCCTTCAAACTGCCACTTACAGAACCCTTTTTAACTGCCTACTGAACCCTAAACCCCTAAACCCTAAAACCCTAAACCCCTAAACCTACTGAGCCCTAAACCTCTAAACCCCTAAACCCTAAAACCCTAAACCGCAGAACCCTGAGATCGGCCCATGGGCTACTGCTCCAGCTGCTCCGCCAACCACCAGGCTCTCGACAGCACTCAGCCTCGATTCGGCTTGGGGTCGTTCCCTAAAGGGTCCTTAAAGGGCTCCTTAAAGGGATCTATAGGGTTCCTTAAAGGGATCTATAGGGTTCCTTAAAGGGATCTATAGGGATTCGGGTTTAGGGTCTACTTGGAGGATCGTGGGACTTAGTAAGTAGGTTATAAGTGGGGTTATAAGTCCCTTAAGTGGGGTTATCCTAAGTATAACCTACTTATAACCTGACTTACTAAGTCCCACGAGCCTCCAAGTAAACCCTAAACCCTACGGTTCTTTGTTCTTGAAGGCCTTTTCCGTCCGCTTAGCGAGTACAGAGCTTCCAGTTTTTGAAGTTTGGTTCTGTGAGCTTTCCGAAGTCTGAGGCAATCTAGTCCCTTGTATCCGCCATTGGACGTCCAACCATAGTCGCCCCAGAAGGCCATCCAGCCCGAATATTCACTCATTTTCACACCTGTGATCTTGTCGTCATAGCCCGCCGTGATGAATGCCTGTGCACATTGGTCGCTCCGCCCCGCGGGCTGGAGACACTCCATCCACGCCGCGGCCGCCATCACCAGCAAGCCAAGGACAGCGGGAATGCAAGTGCGGCCGGCAAGGTACAGAATCTGCAGACACGAACTGTGAGAAGAAAGCGCCCATCCGTGCAACAATGGCCCTATCAAGAACACCATGCACACCTCCCGTCTTGGAGCAGAATGCCGACTCTATCGAGACAAGGTGCATCTCGCGACCCAGCTTCAATCAAGAAGCATACAGCACCACTATCAAGGAGTGACAACCGCGCCAAACAACCAATCCTCTATCAAGAGGAGGAAAGCCAAAGACGGCACACGTGGCAGCGGGATCATGCTGCAACCTGTATAAAGCCAACGACTGATACCTGCTCCTGCTAGATCTCAGGCCGTTGGGTCCGCACCAACACACCCGGCATGCCAGCACTGCGTGAAACCTCCGCAATCGACATGCATGTCCACGAAACTGTGGCTTCACGTTTCCGTGTGGCAGCGCCGTTTTTTTATATGCTCGCGCGCTGCACCTGTTCTGTGTACGTCCTCTGCGGCGGCTTGCCATAGGTGTCCTAAGAAGTACCATAAACCTATACTGAACTTAGAACCCTGGCAAAAATTATAATTTTAGCTGTCTCTTAGGGATTATAATAACCAAAAATTAAAAATCATTTCTAAGTAGCCCTAAGAAACCCCTTAAGGCTCCCAAATCCTAGACCTTCAACCATAAACCTCCATGCCTAAGCCCTAAACCCCAAAATGCTAAAAACCCAAGCCTAAACCCTAAACCCCAAACCGAAACCCCTAAACTCTTGAGCCTTTTCCATCTATTAAGGCTCCTAAAATGGAACTCATATCGCAATCCTCACGGTAAATTAACCCATTCCCAAGCCCAAATCCCTCCAAAACCCTAAACCCCAAGCCTAAACCTTAAACGCAAAACCCCAAAACCGTAAGCCCCAAAGCCCAAATCCCTAAACACCACCTCAAACTTTGCTCCACGAAGCTTCTGCGCTGCAGCACCATCCGTCACAGGCTGACCCGGCAGGGCGACGTACTGGTCGTGCCTGGTTTGTACTATTAGTACTACTATGAGTCGTAGTAGTAGTACAGTAGTAGTAGTAGTAGTAGTAGTCGTAGTAGTAGTAGTAGTAGTAGTAGTAGTTGTAGTAGTAGTAGTAGCAGCAGCAGCAGTAGTAGTAGTAGTAGTAGTAGTAGTAGTAGTCTTGTTGTATCTAAACAATACTATGAACAGTGTTTTGGTATGCTGAATATTCTTAATTGCCTGGCATATTTAAAACATGGTATAGTGCTGAGAAGCTTACAATACCACTGATATTCGTGATGTGCAGTAGGCTCGATGGATTCAGCGGGCCGGTTTAGGATGCAGGGAGCCCGAAACTCAACCCTGAACCCTAAAAGATCCCCCAAAGGCACCCTCATAAGATCCCTGAGAGGCCTTGGGTTGGCAGTCATATGAAAGGGCACTGGGCTCTCTTTAGATCAGAGCTTAGAGGCACCCTTACAACTCATATTCAGGTTTATGGTTGGCCTGGTATTTCTGTAATGGGACCTTCACAAAACCACCAAGGATTCGGAAGCAGATGTCGTGCAGTCAGGACGCTCGTCTGACGCCCGCCTCTTGTGAAGAATACCTCGGCAGTTTGACTGGTTATCGGGAAACCCTTCCAAGCAGTGCCTAGGGTTTTTAGTGCTTCTTGAAATTAGGGCACCTTCCTTCCGGATCCCTATCCCTTCACGCAACCCTTTGCAAAAACGAAACCTTCATAGCCTATTGTAGGAAACTGATTAAGAAACCTTGGGCCTTTAACAGGGTTCCTTCTATGAAAAGCCTAGGGTTTCTTAATCAGGTCCCCGCCCTGACCCTAAACCCCTAAACCCTAAACCCCTAAACCCCTAAACCCGAACCCATCTATGACCGCCCGACGGCCCTTCAAGACATCGTTCACGCCGAAGGCCAGGCCAACAGTCAAAGGCCCCTTTAGCCACACGATGGAGGCACCTGACGAGGGCTGTAGGTTAGAAGGGGCCCCCACCCTGTAATAGTGGTATAGAGTTTAGGGTTTAGGGTTTAGGGTTTAGGGTTTAGGGCTGGGCGGGTGGGAAAAAAATAGTGGTATAATAGGAATAGAATAGGGGCCTAATATAATCCTGTAGTCACTATTACACGATGGAGGCACCTGACGAGGGCTGTAGGTTAGAAGGGGCCCCCACCCTGTAATAGTGGTATAGAGTTTAGGGTTTAGGGTTTAGGGTTTAGGGTTTAGGGCTGGGCGGGTGGGAAAAAAATAGTGGTATAATAGGAATAGAATAGGGGCCTAATATAATCCTGTAGTCACTATTACACGATGGAGGCACCTGACGAGGGCTGTAGGTTAGAAGGGGCCCCCACCCTGTAATAGTGGTATAATAGGAATAGAATAGGGGCCTAATATAATCCTGTAGTCACTATTACACGATGGAGGCACCTGACGAGGGCTGTAGGGGCCCCCACCCTAATAGTGGTATAATAGGAATAGAATAGGGCCCTAATATAATCCTGAAAGTCACTATTACACGATGGAGGCACCTGACGAGGGCCTTCGGCTATGCATGACGCCTCCACGGTTTAAGGTTCAGGGGTTTAGGGTTTAGGGGGTTTAGTGTTTAGGATATACGTGAAGCCCCCAAAACAAACATGCTTGGCTTGGGGATTATCATGATGCGTGTCTTGTAAATCTTCTCAGAAGGTAACTTGTGATGAGGTAGGGCTTGGATAGGGCTCTTGGACTGGGCTTGGGCTTTACAGGTTGACCTAAACCCTAAACCCTAAACTTAAACCCTAAACCCTAAACCTAAACTTAAACCCTAAACCCTAAACCTAAACCCTGAACCCTGAAGGTTGCTGTTCTTCTCGTGGCTGTCTGGCTTAGTTTCTGGTTCCCTGGTTTAGGACTTTAGGGTTCTACGGTTGATGATATAAAACCTGCAATACCTTAATGACCCTAAACTATGGGAATTGTGGAAAATTTCTTGTTGTGGGTGATGCAGGATTTATATCATCCACCGTATGTCTTACTTCTCCTAGAAGCCACCGAAATAAAAGGTTAAACTTTCCGGTTACGGCTAAACTATAAGAACCCAACAAGTTTGCTTTAAAGGTTGGGTATTGGGGAACTAAGATTGCGCATGGCGGGGAGCTTCGTGGGGTTTGTAGCCTGAGCCCTGAACCCAAAAGTGTGCTTCAGGGCCCGCCGAAAATCACCTTGAGCTGCAGCATCTCATGATATCAACAGGCCCAAACATCCATAAAGAAGCACTGAGCCTAAACAGCCGTACGCAAGTCTAAATCCGACAGCATTGTACTTCAAACTTGTAACTGAGAAACTGAGCAAGCCTTCTATGAAGGTCTCTTGAAAGTGAGGTGTCGAGCTTGTACAGGGTTCTTATCTTCGGGATCATTCATGGAATCTGGAACTTCGCAACAGAACCCAACCGCCTACCCACCGCGTGCCCCTGAACCTGAAAAATGTCCGAATCACCAATCCACCTTTACACCCTAAAACCAAGTCCTAACCCCGAACCCCAAACCAGGAACCAACCAACCAAGCAACCCTAAACCCCCGACCCTAAACCTGCGCCCCAAAGCGAGCCTCTGTACAGGGCCACAAGGCCTTCGGTCGTGTGGATCTGCCGAAATGTCTCCCTGCGCATCGGACAAATGCAGATGAGGGTCGGAGCTTGAAGGATGATGGGTTGTCCAATATCCCTTAATTAAGGAATATTCCTTAAATTATAGTAGCATCCCTAATATGATTTAAGGAATATTCCTTAATCAAGGGATATTGGAGTCTCTGGGTTGCTGGGTAACGCAGGGGCGTTCGTGATTTGAATAAGGGGGGCCTTTAAGGTCTCCTTTTCAAAGGTCTGTAAGAAAAGATTCCCATGTAGGGAGGGGTTGTCTAGATACAAGCAGGGTTCGAACTGAGTGTACAGTAGGGCTTAGGAGTTTAGGGTTTAGGGTTTTTTTGGGGGATAACGAACCAGAAATCTTGAATTTCCCGCAGTGCAGATTCCTCATAGTCTTCTTACGGGCTTTCCGAGTCCAAGGTGAGAGCCTTTCATGCAATCCAGCGTTCGGTACATGGAGATAAGAATGGGAACCATGCAGACTGCACCCATCTTATCAGGCTGTTAAGATCCTCAACCATAACACCTACTTCAAGCCCTATAACCCTTTTATCTCGACACGTAGCGCCGAAACACGGAGCCATCGTTTGACCCTAAATCCTACACCCTAAACTGCGCGCTTGCTGCATCAGTGGGTCGATGACTCTTTCTAGGAAAGTCGTCCTAATGTGGGGGTCTTAATATTAGAACAAGGCTTGGGGGTATATTGTATTAGAAGTGTACTGAGGAGCCCCAACACCCTGTTTTAACTATCAAGGCACCTACATTATGGTACCCTTATAGATCCCGTATAGGAACCCTTATAGACCCCTTTTCTGGAACCCTATTCTAATTATTCAGGTCCCTACCCTAGGTTCCTGAAGGTTCAGACTGACATGTAAGGTTCAGGCCATCGTGGCAATGGAATCGGTAATGAATGGTTAAGGGTTTAGGGTTTCGAGGGTAGAGGGTTTAGGGCTTGGAGGGTTTAGGGTTTAGGGTATCCCAGCTACAGCTGCTTGATATAAAGCCGTTTCCCTTCCACTGTGGACAGGACATGTAGAACATCGCCGAGGTCGCAGATGGTTTCGAGCACAGCGTAGGCTTTCTTGAACTTGAGGACAATGCAAGTGTCGACTTCAATAGTTTTCAAAATCATTACTTTGAGCAATAAAGGAAAATTATCCCACATCGATACCTAGAAGGTGTCTTTAACACCTTGTTGCTTCCATGATCTTGGTTCAAAGACACGGGCCGGGTTCTTCCGGGATCTAACCTAGAGGCGAACTCCTGGACCCTGCCCTAAACTTTAAACCGTAGGTCCGAAACTCCAAACCCTCAGCTCATACTAAACCCTGAACATCCCTCAACCCGACACTTACTTCCCGTATAAGCCACAGAAATACAAGGTTATACTTTCCGGTTACTACTAAACGTCTAGAACCCACAAAGTTCAAAGGTTGGGTATTGGGGAACTAAGGAAACTCTAAACCCTCAATTCCCAAACTCCAGCCGAGGAGGTGGATGCCGAACACATGCATCTTGATTCCAAGTCAAGCTATATGTACTCATAGAACCCTTAGGGGGGTTGGGGCAGAGGTGTAGGTCACTATACTTCCTTAAATAAGCCTTATTAAGTCCTTATTATGGATGTCTGGGAATCTAATCTAGGGTCTATAGGGTTTAGGGTTTCGGGCCTAGGGATTCTGAATGGAGGTTCATGATGGGTAGTTCTATGTGGGGTCTTCAAGGGCTCCATAAGGGTTCTATCGGAACTTCCTAAGGGCTCTACTTGGAGGTTCATGGGTAACTGTAACTGGGGGTTATCAGCAGGGTAACTGTCAGGGAACTTATCGCCCCGCTATGCCCGATAGCTAGCAAACCCTACCAAAAGACCTCTACGAAGCCAGTTAACTCTGACCGGTAAATACAGCGGCACCAACAAAGCGAACCTGATGTTGGCATAGGCCAGCGATCCTTGGGCACCCAGCTCCTTGTAGCAGCACGACAAGGGAGCCGCGGATATGTGTGGTGGAAAGTTTGGGGGCTGAAGGTGTGGCACTTGCTTTGCCCTAAACCTTACACTCCTTGAGTCACTAAACATAAACCGGCATGCACTTTCCGTACATTCCCAAGCCCTGAACCCTAAAATCCTAAAAGAAAGGCTCTAAATCCTCCAAGCCCACTACACCTTAAGCCCTGAACTGGCAAATCTCGGTTCCCCAGTACGCTTTAAACGAGGGTTTAGGGTCTATGGTTGCCATTTTTGAACATCAATAAGGGAAGGGGCGAAAGGGTACTATGGGGGACCTAGATACTGCATTTCGGCTTTGGGAAGATGGATTGTAGTATGAAATGTCGGGCTTGAGGGTAAGATGTGGGCCTTCATAATTAGAACAGGGTTTGGGAGCATCATTATACACAAGCTATATTCAGGAACCCTATGGAACGATAGTGGTGATCATTCAGATCATTCAGGCTTCTATACTCAACCTTTATATTAACCCTTATGGTTCTGGGGTGTAGGATTTGTGGGGCTCGAGTTTAAGCCTTATAGTTACAGCTCAACGCTGAAGAACTAACATCCCTCAACCCTAAACACCAAACCAAACCCTACACCCAAACTCTCAACTCTCAACCCTAATGTAGGAACCTGGTTAAGAAACCCTGGGTCTTTACTGGAGTTCCTTATAGGAATCCTACTATTTGGGGTTATAGGCCCAGGGTTTCTTAATCAGGTTCCTACATTACACCGCTCCTCTGGGTAGGGCAGCTGCATCCTCCGCCGGACAGTTTGAATCCTTGGCGCCGGCACGGAACCGAACACCGCTTAGCCCTACATCCGAAAACTTGTTAAGCCGGGCTAAAACCAACCTTTGGTTAGTAGGGATTGGAGGAATGGGGTACAATTAATTATAACTACTATTACTACCATTCTTCCATTCCCTACTAACCAAAGGTAAGAAAAGGGTTGCCGCAAGGACTGCCACAAGGTTTACCAGGCGGGTTCGTACAGGGCCTCAGGTTTAGTACAACGGCCGTAGTAGTCAAACATTACAATGGGCCCGAAGCCTAAATCCTTAACCCTTTAAAAATCCTGAGCCATCTCCTAAACCCACAAAACCTGAAACCTGAGCTCTGTCTTCTACCCCCACACCCACCCCCGACAAAAAAAGTATCCCATGTGGACCTTTGGTGCACAAACCCCATCTGGTTTAGAGGCCCCAACGTTGGGATCCCTCTTATCATCCTCAAAAATTGAAAGCTACCCCATCCCGTCGAAGGCCCTTATGTTGGGATCCCTCTTACTCTTATCATCTGGGCTGACACTTTTAGCGTCCTTGTTATAGTTCATATAGAAACCCCAAGAAGTTAAAGTCCTAAGAGGCCAACCAGAAGAACGCCAAGTCTCATCATCCTTATTTAACAAGCCTTCGGGGTTTACTAATCACTGGCAACCCCAGAACCAAGGCATTAGGGTTTTGAGATTAGCGCCCACACCACTCAATGAAAGGGCAATCTGTGAATTATAGAAGGCCTCTGTGATGGTTTAAGGAATACTTCTTGGTTAAGCGGAGTCTTCGGGTTGCTATCAACCTTCAATGAAAAATAATACAAGTGCACGTGTAGATACATATAGGTGTATGTATATGTACAGACAGTATACTATGCTAAATGGGCAGCTACTTGTTATTGTTTAACATGCAGCTCTCTTTCACCACCCTCCTACGATAGAAGAATCGCAGGTCTGAGGCACGGGTAGGAGAGAAGCTGCGCTGAGGCACCGCTAAGGCTGCCCGCTGCCAAGAGGTGATGCAACGGCACCTCAGCAGTTAGGGTTTAGCGTCTCGACAAGCACCTAGCGGGCCACAATGCCCCTCCGTTAATGAATAGAACTTTATATCTTGGTGAGAACTTGAGGCACATTCCGCGATCTAAGGGGAGGGGTTGGAGGGTTGGTGCGATCTGAAACCTGAGATGGATGGGTTTCCTATAGGGCTTCGAGTACGACGATGAGCAAGGTTACAAGTAGCAGTCACCGGCGTTGAAGAAGAAGTAGTAGTAGGAGCAGTAGCCGTAGCAACAGCAGCAGGAGGAGGAGTAGTAGCAGCTCAAGCAGCAGCAGTAAAAGCTACGTCACAGTAGAACATTCGCTGCGGTCGTTGCCGTTGCACTAGCAGTAGGCACAGGAGGAACAGCAACCAAACGAGTAGGAGCAGCAGCAGCAGTAGGAGCGGCACAAGTAAGGATGATCCACAGTACATTCATCATGCTGGATACTGACATCAACACCCTGAGCATGAGCATGAGCATGAGACCGAGCTCGACGATCGCAAAGATAGCACACTCCAAAGGACTGACCTCCCTGATACAGGGACGACAGTAATTGGAAAAGGATTACAGTAAAGGGCCCAACAGGATAATGTAGGCATTTATTCCGACTTCCATGCTCGGCTTCAAAACTTGCGATCTCACGATTAAGTTCGGATTTAAGGCTATTAAGAGTTGAGGGGGGCTCTTGAGAACTGTTGACAGGTGCCAGCTGGAGGGCCTTAAGTGTGGGAAGGATACATGCATCCGAGTCCCATCCGCACGGGATTTTTTTTTGGGGGGGGGCCCGGCGCTGAAGACTAGGGGACCCTGAACCCTCAACCCCACCCCAAGTAGGTTAGACAGGGCACGTCGGCATCGCTGGACACGCCTTGACATGCCAGCTGCATGTTCGATCCTAAACTTCCTGATGTCTCAAGGGTTTAGGAAAACCCTAAACCCCTAAATCCCCAAATTTCCTGATTTCTTACTCCCTGGACCCTAAGCCCGAGAGGCCCCCCAAAGCGACGGCATCCTAAAGGCCCTACAAGCCCTAAACCCAAACCCTGTATGCGCAAAGGTGCAGGAAGTGCATTAAAGCAATCCTGAAGCCTTAGAAACCTACAACAAATACACAGCCACAGTTTGGGGATTAGGGTTTGGGGGTTGCGGCTTAGGGCTTTAAGTCACAAGTCTTGAGATCAATAGGAGCTAGATCCACACACT